GTGCGGAGGATGAGAAATGCACCTCTCGATGATTCTTCACGCGCGTGCACCCTTCACGCTGACGAGACGACGTCAGTGGAGGACCTTTTGATTTGCCCCATTCATCAGGCCTCATTACACTTGCCATTGACGAGCCCGGCTGAAGATCACGATCGCGCGCACACACACCAACTAATCAGTGCCTCGGATTTTCACAGCAAATCACTCAAGCTCTGATTTATGTGGCCTCACAAGATTGTCTTTTGTCACTGCAATTTGCAGTTGTCTGGGAAGTTTCATCGAAATTCTTAGAATAAATGTCTTTTTTTCTTCTTCAGAAGCAGTCAATTTCTTTGATTTCTTGGGTAAAATTCTTTGTTTGCGACATAATATCTGGAGCCATTCAAACTTCAAATATGTAAAAGTTTAATATTATAAGTGAAAAAGGGAAAAATAGCCCAAAATGATTAAAATTCATGTAAATAGTTAGTAAATAAGTGATAAAATGAATTTACTGCGAATATTTTTCATGTTCATGCTTGAAAATTCGAACTAGAATCACAAATTGATCCATCTTTGCAAGTTATTCCCCTGCTTTTAACACATTCTTTAAAACAACCTCTGGAGAATGTTTTAAAATAACACGTGCACAGTGACTCAGAATAGCAAGACTGTGTTAAACTATCATAACACATTTTTAACATCCTTTGTTTCAGTGGGAATCGCTATAATAATTATTTTCATTAAGTTTTATCTGCTACCCAAAATTATAAAAAAGTTTCTCGTTTAGATTACGTTTTTCTTTAGACCTTTATTGTGATGATAAAATTCATTTTTTTATTTAAGATTTCTTGCTGAAGAGTTTAATGAAAGAAAAATGCAGTCTTCAACTGGTTTTTCCCCCCAGAAAATCATTAAAATAGTGGATTAAGTGAAATCACTTTTCCTCTTGTTGTTCTCTTTATGTGTGAGCGTTGCTATGAATTTAGAAATTTCTGAATAGAGGTTTGCTCAGTTTATTGAATTACTCTTGATGCTCCTCAAGAGCTACTTTGAATTTCAAAATTCCACTGAAGACGGGAACCTTCGAGTGGGGTCGAAGATATTGAAGAAATCACGGTCCTTCGACAGACTTTTTGGCACCGAGAACGGGACTCATTTTGGGAGATGATTGACTAAATGCCTCATGAAGATTTCAATGGGTTCGCCGAGGAGATCTTCCTTCAGGAGAACATGTGGCAACGGTTACGAGAGTGCTCTTTTGGACGGGAAGAAATACGAGATTCCGACATTAAATGCCATCACTGGTCATTGATGGCACACAAAGTCTCAAATTACCTCTCATGAAGGCGGAATATTAATTCGACTAAATGGATTTCGCAGAAGAAAAAAAATGGCATAAATATTTGGGTCAACTTTTGTGTGTCCAGATTTCCTGAGAAAGAAGAAAATCCAGAGCGAGAAAAGACGCCTTTTTGTCATCCTCCTGCTGATGTTCCAAAATATTTATTTATCCCGTGAAACCACACTTATTTGTTTTTCCACGTCCGGAAGAGACAAAAAGTCACCAACCATGCGTTGAATAATGGACATTATCATGCATTTTCATCACAATATCGGATTGCTGTTGGTGAGGAGAGAGCATCTTAAGAATATTCAAACGATTTTTACGCATAACGCTTGAAAGCAAAGAAAACAATTAAAACGTAATAAATCAACAGAAAATATTGGGAAGAAGTGGCTTCTCGATGGCATTCTTTCACTCCTTCTTCCTCCTCACATCTCGCATTCTTCACCATCTCCAGAGTCGCGCTTCCTCTGGGCTTTTGGACTGCGGAATGACACGAAAGTTGCTGTTGTTGCGCTTTAAGGTATATCATCAAGGAATGTTGTACTCATTGAATGCCTTTTCTCACCTCCGAGTCAGCCTTTTAGATTAAGACTTAATCCTTTTTTCGCTGCTCATGCCCAAAAGTGTTCCGATGACTTTGCACATCTCTTTTTCTTCAACAATGGATCTCGTCGAGGTCTCGAAACTCCTCAATGTCTGGCCATCTCGTCGACAAATTCCTCTGAGTTTGGCCACAATTCAATAATTTATTGAAGCATAATGGCATCTCGTTAATAAAACTGATGAATGATTCTTCATTCAACTTGACTATTCATTCAGACGAGACGCTCTGGATACGATTAAAAAAAAAAGAGTGTCTCTCCGAAATGTCCATTTTCACAACCCACACGATATTTTCATAACACTTTTCTGCGAGAGTTTCACTAATTGAAAAATTTGGCAATTGATTTCGTTGCAACATTCACGCGCCATCATTGATTTTTTTTTCTTGACTCTTCAAAGACGCACCGCGAAGAAGTCATCCAGACACTGTGTCGCCGTCGCTCCACAGAATTCTCCACATCGAAAGTTCGCCCACAATTTCCTCCACCCGCACGCCGTGTATTTACATAGGATAATGACGAGGAAGCGGGCGAGGGTGTGGTGAAAAAAGCGACAGGAAGTGCCTTTAACATTTTGCGTGTCTCCTTGCCGGCTCGTCAGAGTGCCAAATGAGCGTCATTAGGAGAGTGCATCACGTCCTGCCCCGGGAAGCCAATCAAGCGGAGCCGACAGGCCCAATTCTGGGGGTGTTGACATCCGCCAAACATTGGGAAATGCCGAAATTGAGGGTGAAAATTTGTTAGGGAGGTGCGAACAAATGAGACAGTCGCTGGCCTGCTTTGCTCGCATCGGTGGAAATGAAAGACAAACTGATAATCCTCCCAAGGATTGAAAAATTCACTGAAATATTCACTTTCAGGGGACGAAATTTAAAATCAAACCAAACGGAGAGTCAGTGGAAATTTGCCACAAGTTGGATTTGAAGTCTTAAAGGTAGGATTAAGAGGCCAACGCTTTAATCACAGAACTTTAAGCTGCTGCCCTCTAGCGGGAATATTTGGGGAAAAAATCAAAGCTTATTCATATTTGAAAATGCTCAAATTTTGATTAAATATTAAGAAAATAATCAAAAAATTCATACAATAGTCAAATATTTAAATATTTTTTAGCGTAAAGTGGGAAAGATTCAAATGTTACTCAGGTGAGTTATTTATGCATAGGTTCGGTTTTAGTGTCACAAACGAATCAAGGATTAGGCCGAATATCTTCAAACTCGGCATGATAATTACTCATTAATGAGGGAAGATTGGTGGAGAATTTCAGACCTCTAGCTTGGGTGGTTCTATTTAATTTGGTGTAACTGTATTTATTAAGCCAAAATTAGACAAATGAAACTAATTTCTTCTCCCCGTTCTAAATTGATCCTCAAAAGGACTTAAGGAATATAGATATTAAATAAAATTGATGGATTATTAAGTGGAAAAGTGTAAATTTCTGAAATTCTCACGCCCTAAATACTAATTTGAAAAAAACCTTCTCTTCTGCAGACACTTTGTCGCCATTGACATCAAAGCTGCTGCTCCCAATGAAAGTGTCTCACTTTCTCCCAACCCAAGCGACAGATTCTTCCTCTCGCACCTCGTTTCACCCTCTCTGCGCCGCCACCTCCCCTCACCACCGCCGCCGCCGCCGCCGCCCTGCAGCCGGAATCCCCGAGAGGAAGGCAAAAAAGTGCAGTGGCATGAATGAAAATTCAAGAAAAATATACAGCCGGGAAGCTTTCCTCGGGCTGAAGGTTTTTAAAATGTGTATATAAATAAATAAATAAATATCATCGTATAAACAATAAAATATAGTTACACCTGTGCTTCGTGAGGCGCTCACGGGGAAAGTAAATAAATAAACACCTCGTGGATGAAATTGGGTGAGTGTGAAAAAATCCTAGATTAATTTTTATTCTCAGCAGATCGCTCAATTGGAAGCCACTCAAATTGATAGATTTGTGCAGCAGAAAAAGCAGAAGAGGCTGAGTGAGTGGGAATTCGTCTGTCTGGCTGAGAAACCCCCTCGAGAGCGTCGCGCCTTTGGCCATTTTTCATCGTCACGCGAAAAGTGAGACAGTTCGATGGACTACAAGATTTTTGCGTGGAAAAATTGTAATTTTTGCAAAATTGCCGACCTGATTATGAATGTGACGAGAATATCTAGCAATAATTCTCTCTTTTTATGATGTTTTTTCGGGAAAAATAAAAGTCAGATTGAAATGAACAGGACAGAAAAGTAATAAATCCATTTAGAAAATAATATGCACAATAATTTGTTTCTTTCTTAGTGAAAAGGACATCGAATTTTGTGAGATATGCAGAATCCTCTAGCGCTGAGAACATGAAGTAAAATGTGAAGAAATTAACGACAAGAGCATAAAAGTGTTCACAATAAAAGCGAACAGTTTAGCAAAGATTCCCATTTTCGTTGAATTTTAGCCGCAAAATTAACCTTTCGTTCAGTGTGTCTCCACTAAGTTTACACAGAGAAAAACTTGCGTTTTTGATACAAAATAACATTCACATTTTATTCCTTCGGATATGATTTTTTGTGATATAATTTATCTTTGCACAAAAAATTGTATAACTTTCGATATTCTCAACATTATCAGATTTTTCTCATCTTCTTAAATCTTTGCAACAGGAGTTTTAGACTAAAAACGACTTCGTTTGAAAATAAATTTCCTATAAATTCATTCACTTTCTTCATCATCTCATCTTCAATAGTAACATTTATACTTTCCTGAAAATACATTTTACTCTTTTCTTTGCCTCTTTTCAATAAATAAACTTTACTGTGGGATTTTTTAATGTTATTTCTCGCCTTTCTCATATTAGTTGGGCTTCATTTAAACTTCACGTGGTATGTTTTTGATTTGATTTGATTAAGAAACACTGACAACAATGTGATTTTTATCACTAAAATTTTCTCCTAATTCTCTTGAATTCTTCAATATGTACAATTTCAGAAGAAAAAAGAAAAGAAAAAACAGACCAATAGAAAAATGTCTTCATTTTATATACATAATTGTATTAAGTGAAAAGTTTCCCTCATTTTTTTTTTCTTGTTTCGCGCAAGAGGATTTTTTTTCTTATTGAGAAATTTTATTAGAGCCTAAAAACAATCGAATTTACTTCATGTGAATCAATCTTAGAGAATTCTATGCGTGATTCGAAGATTCAATTCTTAACATTTATGTGCGAATCTTCAAAATGTATTGTCAATGACTTTTTATTTCTTCTATTCATTCGAAAAATTCTAATATTTCCATCAGAGCGATTACAGACTTGCGGATTAACCTAGAATCGGCGCGAACTGGGTTCAATCCTCAGCGATGGGATCAGTCATAATTCGTGGCTGATCTGGCGCTAAACACACTCAAAGGTTATTCCTCTTTGTCAACACTAGCGCCACTGTTACTTCGAGTTCCGCTCTCAGCTGTCAATTGGATTTATTCATTTTGTCAAAAACCGTGAAATTTTACGATCAAATTGCGAAAATGGAAAATTTACAGAAGAATTTAATGCTTTTGAGAGTCCACGAAATTATTCGCAAGGAATCCGTCATTTTGTCCGTTTTCAATCGAGGGATTAGTCGCGTTTTATGTCTCAACCAGCTGTCGCGCTCTCGCTTAATCCTCTCGTGGATCACCCGGAAGTCTGTAATCGCTCTAATGCTTTCAAATCACTCTTTTCATTCGCTTAAATTCCTACTCAAGTTGAGTCTTTAGAATGTTTCTGAATTTCAACATTTCAACTCTTCCTCTGAAACGCATTTAACTTTTCACTTCGTGTTTTGTTCATCTTTTTCTGTTCCGTTAAATTAAATGTTACAAAAAATGTATATCGTGTTTAGGCCGCGCACATATTGTGTAAAATTTGGTGGTTCAATCATCTTAACATCTAAATTTCTTATCCTCCATCAATGTTGTCTTGCCTGCAGAGGTCTTAGAATTACAATGTTTATTGCATTTTAAGGGGGGTTTAACACGTAAGTACTCACTTTAAATACTCATTTCATCTTCTCATGTGAAGCTAAATCTTCTGTCGCTAATAATTTAAGCACTTCTTCAAGTATTCTTTCTTATGGCATTAAGATTTGTATTCTATTTTGAATAATATTCTTTCTCTGGTTATTGAAATGAAATAGAAAAAAAGCAACTCACAATGCGGAAAACTTTCCATAAATTTGATTAAAAATTATATTTTGTTCTTCACAATTGATAAAAGTTGAGTGTTTAAGTCTGAGCCAGACTAGGAAGAAGTTATTAGAAATGCAATTAAATCGGCGTTTGGCCTTTTATATGTAATGTTTTTTTTATAAGAAAAATCTATTGACTTGCAAAAACTGTTTGAAGTCCTTTCGAAATATGTCTAATCCCCATTGAGAAGGTTTTTATTATAAGTATATAAATAACTAACGTGCGTTAAAGTCAATTTTTGATCATTTCTTCTTTGACTTACCTCAGAACATCAGATGAATCTTCCCAAGATGTCAATTTGCAGACAGAATAAGGGAAAGAATCAGCACATTGTTTCACTGAAGGGTGCTTCTTTCTCTTCATCGGTGCTGCTTTTGATGTTGGACGACAATCGCGCGATCTCATCTTGCACAACATTTGTGCTGATTGTGGGAATTTGTCTCTCATCACGCGATTCTGTGCTTGAGCTGCTCTCCTTCGTCGTGACGACAGCTTTTCCGGCTCTCGAGGCGCACGTGAGGAACTTGGGACTCTCCTTGGTCTCCTCCGCATCCTCACTGATGGCCGAGTGCGTGGAGAAGGAGTGCGCATCCGGATCAATTCGCTGACTCTTCTCAATGCTGAACTGCTTCCGCAGAAAAGCCGCGCCACTCGACACTGCGCCCATGAGGAACTGCCCTCGTCGCCCCGGAGACGGCTTCACATCATCCGCCGTCGTCGTCGCCTGGACATTCTCAATCATCGTGGTATTGGCATCAGCCTCGAGAGAGTCATTCGCCAGCGAGGCATTGTCAATGTTCACAGAACTGTTGAGCGACGTGTTGGTCTCATTGGAGCTCTGCTTAATCACTCTGTAAGGCTGGAGAGAATACTCTGTGTCCGTGCTGGAGTTCTTCTGCAGACTCTCGCTGGATTTCTTAAAGATGCGCGACTCCATGAAGTTCGTGATGGGATTGAGGAAGTCCGTTCGTGGCACAACAGCTTGAGGAGATTGCTGACGTGAGAAGATCACTTGTTGCTCCACTGAAACACTCCTCGCTGTCACGGTTGGCATTTGAGATCTCTCCTGACCTTCCTCCTTCTCCGCCATCCCGGCGATGCTCTTTGACGGCGTCACTGGAAGCTCAACTGCCGTTTCCCTTCTCAGGATTCGACGCTGAGCATAATCCAGAGAGCCACTGCACTCCAGCGACTCGTCCGTGTCCTCCAGTGATCCTCTGGCCACCAGCAATCTCTCCAGCATCACGTAGTCGTTCTCTTCGCACTCCTTCAGGTGTTGCTTCTCAATAAACGCCGCAAATTCCGGATTGGACAACTCATTCACATTCTTCGGACGCTCAAATCCGTGAATAGACGTCGTCGGCGAGGCCAACATGTGACACACACTCTCCAGTTCATCCGTGATAGACGTGTACTCCGTGTGGATTTGCAGCAGGAGATTCCGATTGGGCTTCACAATTGGTTTGGCAGCTGCAATGAGAATTTCTCTTTAGATTCTGTGTGAGAATAATTTGCATAGTTGGAACTCACGTGGCTCATTGGACTCTGGCTCTGATTGTGTGAGACTCAACTGACGCCTGGGCATTCCCAGATGAAGACTATTCTGAGATCTGTTGATGTCATAGTTGGAGCAGCATTCAGAATTACGACGACCAGCAGAAGAATTTCGTCTTCTCCCCTTGATTTTGGTGCCTATAAAAGTGGCAAATTAATATCTTTCTGTTGTGCAATCAAAAATAAGATTCTCACCATCATAATTCATGTCCACAATGTCCTCCGCGGAGAGTCCTTCGCCAATCAATGTGTGAGCATCGCTCGTCTCAATTGGCGTCAGCGTATCCCGACTCTCTGTACTGGTAGTCTCCTGACGCACCACATTCACAATCGGTGGCTTCTTCGGCACCTCAATTGTGATGGGTTTGCTGGTCACAGTTCCTCCGCCCTCGCCGAAAATGTCCGAATCGTCAGACTGCGTGGAAACCTTCCGGGCGAGAGTCTGAAAGCCAAAGAGAATCATCATGAGATATGGGAAGATTCAGGCGGCAAATGATACAACACTCACGGCCTCTGTGAGAGTCTCCCTTGACCTGGCCACTTCGCTCTCTTCAGGCACCGGCCTCACCTCAAAATGCAGACCATCGTCGAATATGTACGCATCCGGACGCACTTCAGTCAGCGACCGATTGAACTTCTTCCGCGGATTGAGATGAAGCGTCGCCACGGCTTCATTCTCAGACGTGCTGCGCGTCCTCGAGTCCTGTCGCTGAAGGCCAATCGGCAGATTGTCACTGTTGAGCGACGTGTGAGTGGACATGAAGCGATGAATGACTGCCAAGTGGGAGAGAATCTGATCAGCAGACTCCTCCATTTTCCTCAGGCGGAATTCAATGCTCTGCACAGTGGCAGTTTGGAGATTCTCCTTCTGATTGATGTCCTCAATCTTCTGGCTCATGTTCTCCACACGATCAGTCGTGCTCTTGATGCGCTCCTCCGTGGACTGCAGCAGAACGATGTCCTGCTCGCGAAAGTAGCCCTCAATGCACTCCTCCTCGAAGTCATACAGGCGCTCCATGTCTTCGCGCTCCAGGAACAGTTTCAGCCCGTTGTCACGGGGCCCCTGTAGTCCTGTGAAAAAGGGCGGATTGAGGAAGAGAGAAACACCTTGTAAGTGAGCTCGACCCACGTACACTTCCTGTACTCCCAACTACCTTTCGCTTTCCGGACGAAGTACTTGAGAAGCGAATAGATGTGACAGAAGGCGATTAGAGGCGGCGGAAGGACTGGCTTCTGCTGATACTCCATCACAACAGTGAATCTCTGGAACATCCAAACCTGCCGAAATGGAGAGACACGATTACATGCAAATCAATCGATAGAATTATCATACATGGATTAATAGCAAATTCCTCTTGATGTGATGATAATTGCAGTTCACTAAGCAATGTAATCAATATCATTATGTACATAATTCATTGAATTTACAAAGTCAAAGCAACCGATTCGGCTTCTCACTATTTTTGGAATCAATTAAATTTGACTCTGTGCAATTTCAAATGAGTTAATAAATATTTCACTGGAATTTTCTCCGCCCGGAAAATGTACTCAGAAACCTTCTCATGTTGGGCGAAATTGAATTGCACAAAATTTATATACCAGATACAAATGAGATCCGTGAAAGTAGAAAATCGATAGGTTTAATTTAATCCTTGAGGATTTTGGCAGACTGAAGAGCATTTGATACACATAAAACTTGTACACACGGGGAAATGCAAAGTTCACTCATGTTCACATGAAGAGAATCCCATATAATGCTCGATGTAGAAATAGAGCAGAAAATACGATTAAAAGGATCGCGAAATAAATTTGAGTTTCGGTCAGTTTGATGTGGTTTTCTAATGCGCGCTCACCTGATGCGACACAGCATTGACTTCGATGAAGATGTTGTTGAACACGGCAATGAGCAGATTGATGAGCAATATGTTGGCTATCAACAGGTACATGGACATGGTGATTGGCGTCACCCAGTGACCAGTGACGCAGGGATCCTGCGAAGGATCCTCACCGCACGGTGGATCAATGTCGTCGGCAAACACCTCACCGTACAGCATGAAGTAGGGCTGGAAATAAACCTGTTCACCACAATTAATGACCATTCTTTGGCGCACAATGCAAATATTTCTCACTCACATCACGCACGAGGCGCCAATCTGCCTCATTGTTGGGAAAGAGAATCGCTTGGCGACTCACGCCGAAACTCATGAGCACGACCAGCAACAGGACGACGAAGTAAATCATGTTCTTCACCATTTTTCCCATCATCGTCACCAAAGGTCCTGAAAGAATGCGGCACAAAAGCATCACAAATTAAGTAGATTAAGAGATTTGTATGAAATTTGTATTCATACAAATATTTCGAAGCTCAAAAAGCATTTTCATATTTTGTATGCGCAATTCCTGAAAACGTGCTTTTTGATAATAATAATAATATTATATGCATTCAGCAATAATACTCTCACGATCCATTTGTCAATTAATATATCCAATTACTTTCCACTCTTGCAAATATGCATAAATGCTTCAATTCAAATAAAAATGTCAATTTCCCATACAAATTATGAGCTTTTCATAAGAGTCATAATGGAAAAAGGATGAGCTCAACGCGTTGAGGTCACTTTTTTATTCTCCTGCATTATGCAGAATTTTGGAGACATCATTTTTGGGAATCAGAGACAATTTCATTGTTCTAAGTAAGTTATAGAATTCTGCAGGAGGTTTCAGACGAGCTTATTAAAATCGGACCAAAAGAACCAAAGTTTTGAGCAGTTTTGAACTAAGATTTTATCAAAATTCACAGTCAAGTTGTCGAGATACAGGCGTTCAAAGTTAAATCAATATGGCGGAGTCATCAACGACGTCACAGACTAATGGTGGATGTGACCTACTAAAGGACTTCGATACACGTCTTTTGGTGAAGAGATGATTCAAATCGGTTGGTAAACAGCGGAGATATAGTTCGGTCAAGGCGTAAACTTTAACCCCCCCATATCTTCCCTTCTATAACTTCAATCCTCATAAATAGGGATTCGCTGGAAAGATCTCAACCTCAGCTACAACATACTAAAATTTAGGGCTGATGCGCGCCATAGAGACTGAGTAACCGAGGGAAAGTGTGTTTGAAGGGTATTCAAAATGGCGGACGGACAGACGAACATTCGTCATATCTCTTCTAAATATGCCTGCAGTTGAGATTTTGAGTCAAAAATCAACACCTAAAATTGGCCAGAGTCTCACCGAGATATTTGTTGACGCCGAGAATATTGAGGATCCTGAGGTACCAATAAATGCTATCGACACAGTAAATCACCCGACCAATGTCCATCGTGTTCGGCCTGAAGCGCAGCACGAGTCCGATCATGAAGAAGATGATGGCAGCAGCATCGCACGGATTCCACATATTCCATGCCCAGACGGAGAATTTGTGCCTGCAAAGGTGCCCGAGAAAGTGGGTGAATTTTGAAGAGTTTACAGCGTGTCTCACTCACGTTATTGCTACAGGTTCAGATGATATAATTTCACGTATCTTTTCACAGCCAAGCGTCGTTATGTAGGCAATTGAGTAAACCTCCTGCCAATTAGGTGTTCTCTCCATTTTTACCAGTACAGTGTACGTGAAGAGTACCAAGAAGAACACGTACGCCAACTGTGGAGTAATTCAGACATTCACAACCGCAAAACCGCCAGTAAAATGACTCAAGTTGCAAGCAAAGTTGTCTGGTGTATTTTAACATAAGGATTCTATTGAAGATGTTCCGAAAGTGTACAAAGTTTTATCATCTCCCCTTCTGACTTCTTGCAAAACGTCGTCAACTGTGCTTGCTTAATGCTTTTATAACTGCTCTTGTGCAGAGACACAACTTACAGAATCTGCCCAGAATTTTGTTATTGGCGCCGTGTAGAATTCATAAATTTTCTTCTTCCACTTAAGCGGACGGTGCTGCTTAATTTCATAATCATAAGAAAGTTGCATGTAGTCCTTCTGGTGCATTCCCGCGTCTGAGTCCGTGAGGGAAACCTGAAAAGCCAGACGCAGTTGCACAAATTACTATTTTTGCAGAAAACCAATCAGAGAAAGTCAAGGGGTTGCTAATTTGGATTTTGAATGCCTCAGCATCTTCCGTTTCATTTTCTAAGATCTAGAAATCTTAGAAAATAATTGTCTCGTCGAGAGAATTACTTAAACCAGTTTTAAGATCATTTACAGAGAATTTTAGGGAGAATACTTGGAAAATAATCTATATTTTATAAATACTTAAAGAAAAAATATAATTCTGTGTTTCAATACAGAAATTAGAAGATTTTGCAAATACAAAAATAAATTTAAAGTTAAATTTAAGTAGAATATTGAACAATTCAAAGATACTTTACGGTTTACTCAACTACAGATTTTCGTCAGCATTTTTAAAGATTATCATAAGGTTTTTTCGGTTTCACACTCGTTTTGAACGTAAAATCAAGCGTAAAACCGTAAATATCCGATTAAAGAACAAATATTTAAGCAATATTGTCTATTCATTAGAGTTTTTAAGTTTTTTGGTTAAGAAATTCACTTTTAAGTCTTTCAAAATTGTGTACAATTATTTCTAAAATGAATTTTGAAGAGATAAAATGATAAAAATGTCGGTTTTTTTTGTGAGAACGACACGAAATAAGCAAAATTTGACTTTGCATCTCGAGCTAAAAGTGACACTTCATCCCCAACATTAGCAACCCCTTTGGAGAAAGTGCAAATTCAAGAGGAAAGACAGAAAATTTTATCTACATTTTCTTTCCATAGACTTTCCAACATAATCCAGGTGTGAAAATTGAAGGATTAACGATTAAGAGTAAAATTCTTCATCTATTCAGTGATTGTCTAAATCTTGCTAAAATCTCATCTACTGGATAGAAGAAACCAATAAATATTCCCCTCAATCGGACGTCATAGTTTGCTGAAGGTGGTGCAAAATGTCTAAAATTGTCTCTTTCATTTCTCTTTAGCATTTCCCAAAAGAACAACTTGTCATGCAATCACATCGCCAAAAAATGGTAAACTCGGCATGGCAAAACAACACTATGACATCAATTAATACTTGGCAAGACTAACTTTGGCTAAGAACTCATTATATCCATTGAGACCCACCTATGCACAATATACAAAGAAGTTTTAGTTGTAGGACAAAAAAATGTTAGTTTTCTGCACAACAAACGATCTGAGACAATGCCTTAAAATCTAATGCTGGTCCTTTATTCTTCCTCTTTTACATCTCTCTTCTAAACCAGTGTGAACATCAGAGGGTTATTTTTTAATCACAAAATTATCTAAGGAAAATAAATAAAAACCACATACTTTGCCATTTTCATGAACTTTGGTATCTCGCATTGAATACGTATCAGACAAAAGAGCCTAAAATTACAACACAACAAGAAGCATTAGGACAAGAATGTAATTTCAGTTGTTTTTTTTAGTAATTCTTGATTTGATGAAATGATTGTGGTTTCTGCGATCGATGAAATTGGCCAAAGTGCCTCCGAATGTGTGACAAAGAGTGTTAAGAGAAGAAAAGCTTAAGTAGATTTTTCAGTGTGAAAAAATGCAGAACAGAAAGAAAATTCAAGTGAAAAACCACAAATTCCTTAAATCCTTCTCGAATTAAGAGTAAATGACATAATGCAGACGGATTTCTCCTTCGTGACTCCCACACACTCACTCACAAATTTCTCTCAATTTCACATCATGAAGTTCGCTCTAAATTTAATCCCATCCGGCAAAGGCTGATGGAAAATCCTCCTGCCCTCATATTTCCCAGCCACTCTCTTCCCAAGACGGCCGTCTTTGGGATTGAAAGGAGATGTTTGGAGCAATATTTTTCCATCCTCGACGATGCAGCATAAGAGTGCTCGTGTAAGAAATTAATTTAAAAGTTGAACTTTCACTCCCACACTCGTTTCTCTCCATCCATCTTCCGACACCCCACAAAATCCATCGCCCTAATCAGACTTTCAGATAAATTCCCAACTCACACTTCCCAATGCCAACGGCATTTTTCTCCATCAAACCTTCGCAGCAATTAATAAACCTTTGATCTGCGAAATACCTGAATAAAAGAGGCGAAAATCTACCAAATACCAAGGGGGAGAAAGGAGGTCTCAAAGCTGGACACCATTTCGTGACACTTCTACAATTTCTGCACAGAATATTTAACACTTCAGACACTTCTGAACGCTTTTAAAAGCATTTTTCATCGCTTTTATAATCCATTTTTCACTTATCCTAATTTAATCTAGGTTTATCCGTTTCAAGACACTAAAGCTCCTCAAATGCTCAGATTTCAGATTGCATGGAATGATCTTAATGTCTTATAATTTATTCATGAACAATTTCTCACTTGCTTTCCTTGTTTTGTCTTCAGAAAATGCCTAGAAAAATTCTGTCCAAGAAATTCTTCTTGGATTAATTTTAATTCTTTTCAAACTGGAAATAAATAAATATAAGGAATATCGCAATATTTCTTCTGGATAAGTAGGTTAAATATGCCAGTTAAAAGCACTAAACTGATATTATTTGAGGTTATGATTGACTTTTCAGCTTTTTCTCCACCAATATGAAGTTTTTGCGTAAAAAAATGCTCAACTCTGTTGAGAAAATAAGAAATATTCCTGGTTTGAACACAATTTTGATGATTTTGTAGGTTATTTAATCACCAAAATCTGTCTTAAATCAATTACATAACCTAGAAAAATGAGTAAAATAGATTTTTCTCAATTTGTTGAAAAGGAAGATTCAGCATTGCAAATATTTTAAACACTTCCACAAAGCTGTACACTATTTCCGACCATAATATCTTCCCCTTGGCATATACTTTATGTATCGCTTCATTTATAACCGTGATCGAAAACTGAATAGTCTAAAATTCTTTTCACAAAGCATTTTTTGTAAAAAAAAACCATTCATTGAGCAGTACGAAACCACTATTTATGTAGTTAACTAACCACTGATTTCACGTGTATTTCAATTTATAATTCATTTAGCATGTGAATTCAGTTCACATTCATTCAATGGTGAATTCTTTTCAACCCTTTTTTCTGTACATTTTCTCGGTGGAGGAAAAAAATTAGAGTCAATTTTCCATACACAAAAATATATAAATATATAAACTGGATGCTGCGTCATCTCGAGTGCACATTACATGTTTTCCTCCCCCTGAAATTCCACCCCTTGACGCCCCTGCGATGGCGGAAGTGGGCCACATTCCCAAATGGCATGAGTATGGAATAATAAAAGAGCAAACAAGGAAAATCAATGGAATTCCTCGCCTCAACAGGTGAATGAAATATTCTTTCTCCAATTCCCTCATCATCTGTGAATGGTCGACATTTGGGTCACGTGCCATCCACGCGTGTTTCCTGCCATCGATATCATATCCTTATTACATTCTACAAGGAAATCCCACATGATTATTCTTTCCCTGTGGCCCTTTTCTTCGTCATCATTAGCACATTGTTTCCATCCCCGAGGATGACTCACACTCTGTGCGCGCGCGTTCATCGGACGGGGGAGGAAAATGACACTTTTCCTCTGTCTTCCCTTTGAATATTCCATTACACCCAACAATGCCATATATATATATAGGAGAGATGCAACCAGGTAAACAACATTTTCGGAAAAGAGATAAAAACAAACACTTATGAGAAAGAGAGGAAAAACATCAAGAAAGCGAAGAAGAAAGAGAAGAACTCAGTCTCACGTTAAATAATCAAAAGTAACATAATATTGTTCTTTGGCAGCAATTTCAATCCGAAATTCTCCCATTAAACACTCAACGAATGAAATTTCGTTATTTCACCACAACTATCATATTTTGTGCAATTTGTAATGTGCAATAAATGTCTATTAAAGAAGAAATAAAATGGTTCCTTCACAGGAGAAACTCTCTATATATTTTTCCGGAATAACTAAAAATTTATAGTGAAGTTCTTTGTGCAAAAGAACCCACATAAATATTTCCCGTGAGAATGAGTTCTTGCGCCACGGGCAAAACTTTGCCTGTGTTTGTTAGATTAAGGAGTATAAATAACGTGAAAAAGGATAGAATATTGTATAAAATTGTGCTCTTTTCAAGCATTCCAGCCAACTTAAGACTCTTTGCGCTTCTTATTTATGCTTCTTTATTGCATTTCGCACGGGAATTCTTCGAGTTCACTTCTCTAGCACACAAATACATCAATATTTGCGAGATTATACGCCAAAAGTTTTGACAAAAAAAAAACGATAAGGGAAGAAGATATTGAGAAGAAAATGCAAACATCGAGAGAATGGTGGATTTTTTTTTGTATCTGTTCAATCTGTAAATTGAAAATACCTGAGAGCATGATTGATTTCCTATCTTGTATTTGAAAGAAACCGAGCATCGCCGCTTATTTGTGGTCTACAAAGTGAATTGAAATGTTAATGAGGGTGAAAATAAAAAAGTTGCTGCTGAAAAGGAGTCTCGAGAGTGAAAAGTCAACAAATGAAGAAAACTCATGACTTTCTGCATGATCAAACAGCCAAAGAGATGCCAAGACAGTGAGAGATTGAATGAAAATTGTGAACAGAAGTGTGAAAATATCATTTACCTCAGCATCATTCGTGTGATGACCTTTCTCACGATCCTCATAGTCGAGATTCTGATTTTCCAGATGTTCCTCCTCAGTCTGAGGCATGGATTGGAGCTCCTCTTTGGACTTAAAGTCAAGCTTCTTGATGAAGGGCGGAAATAGCAGTCCCAGGATGACCTGAAAGTGCCGAAGAAAGCACGTGAAATCTCCTTCGGAACCCTAATTTTATCACCTCACCTTGAGATTTGTGTTCTTTCTCGTCCTCAAGCCGCCCATCCAGAGATCTGCCAGGATCACTTGGCTGCACGGATGCGCCAAGAGAGGCCGATGATTGGCAGCCACAGCCAGTGAGAGACAACTCTGACTCGACCACGAGTTCAGTTCACACGTCAGCAATCTCTGAGTGCGCTCAGCATCTTGTCGATGGCAGAAATCCAGCAATTTCAATCCTCTCGTCTCAAACTCCTTAGCATAGCTTCTCAACTCTTCATAGATTTCCGTGTCCAGATCATCTTCTGCCGCCTCGTGAGCCATGGCTTTGTATAATTTGCATGCCACCAGAGATTTCGCCAGCGCCTCCTCACCATGTGTCCACATGAGCAGCGCCATTTCGTGCCTCTTGGTAAGAACAGCCCAAATCTGCGGGGAGAAGAAGATAAAAGATCTTTCTGTCAGGCACACAAAGAGGCTCAACTGCAATTTACCAGAAGCTCGTTGAAGGGGAACTCAAAGAGCGCCATCTCAGACGTGAAGGGCAAGAGTCCAGTCACCAGACTCATGGAATTCGCACCAGCGTGCCGCTGGAATGTGGATGACTTCCTATGCGTGTTCACGTAGCTGTTCATGACTTTGGCATAAATCGGCCGAAATTTGCGTCGAGTGTAGTAGGATCTGGCGTGGGTGAGCGAAGAGAGATAGAGATATAGTCAAATACTCTGTGATTTACGAGAGTTTACCAATTAAATGAGACTGGGCTTTTTTTCTCCCCACCCAGAACGCCGAAAAAAGCCGTCACGACAGATTGGCTGACACTTTCAGGGTATCAAAAAGAGCGCAAACAGGGAATTTATTAAATTATTGTGTGTGTGCTTAGGCTGAAAAAAGAGCAGCATTTGTCAGTGACAAGGGGGAGATAATACGGTCAGACTGTGTACATCACAATTTTTATGAAGAATCACAGACACTTCTAGACTTTCAGCAGTGCTTAAAACATGAATTTTCCTCATTTTCTCCTCCGTTTTACGAAACTTCATAGCTTTTCCCAAGCGCCTAAAGTATCATAACCTCAAATTTGGGACGAAATTGTCATAAAAAGACTCAATTTCTATTAAAAACTTATCAAGAAACAGTATTTTAGAAATATTTTAAGTTTTTAGCAGATATTTTGATGAGATTCAATTTTCAATCGATCTTTTGGATGCCTTTCGGAACATAACCTAAAAATTACTTTGAAATATCCAAAAGAATCCTTAAAAGATAAATATTCAGAATATTTAAAAGGTAAATCTGGAAAACAACAATCTATTATAAATAGATAATGCACTGAAATTTGCTATTTTAGAGTAGAAAATCAATCAAAAAGCTATTAAAATAAACTATATTGTATCCGGAAACAATATTTAGAGGTTATGATCAATCTTTGCAGTTTATCATTTGATTACAAACGCTCATCTTTGCTAAGGAATACGAATTATTGCAATTTAAATGCATAAAATTGTGTTTCTCGACGTTATTTAGCCACTAAATATCGCTTAAAGTAAGTTACATAACCTAGAAAGGCAATGAGAATTTTTATTGAAGAAAATAGTGTAAAAATTCTTCTTCTGCTGATCTGTACACCACTTCTGACTGTATTATCTCTCCCTTGGTCAGCGAAGTGCTCTCCTTTTAATCACGATCATAGTCCGTGATGCTAAGCAGACTCGAGCGCGAGTGTGTCGTGAATCAGAAAGATTTTCAATTAGATTAGACTCAAGTAATATTTGAGTTTAATTTAGAGAGAGAATGTAATTTTGCACAGAAATAGTGTTAATGCGAATAAGAATAAGTACCTAATGCTCATGCATAATTGATCATTTCCAATTTACTACAGCGATTGAATCATTTAAAGTGCCTCTTGGCGTTCTTTCTCGTCAATTTCATTGAATTAAAGTGAGAAAATCCTCTATTGTACAAGGAAAATCTCCTGCTGAGGAGAGATTATGGGGCAAAATCAAGCTGGAAGTGCTACTAATTCGCCTGGGTGGAAGTGATAAAATGAACAAACCTGTAAGCGCCGCCCATTAATTTATTTATCACTAATCCAATATCGTGGAGAGTGTACATATATCCCTTCGGTATGTGTGGCCTCACGTCCCGCAGGATGTAGCTGGGAATTAAAAGTGAAGAGAAACGTGGCCGATGAGTGGATTGTCATTAATAATGGGGGGACAGAATGGATGGCGAGGCGTCAATAATTGAAACGTAATTCGTCGAATAATGAGTTTAGTTAGGGAAACATGTATTGCATGCATGATTATCTTGGCTCTTCATCCTCACCCAAGTGTATTTGCCGGCCCGTGTTTGGTGTTGTACAACTCCTCGAGTCGCGGAATCGTGAGGAACTTCCTCATGGACACACCGTTCTCCAGCAGAAGCTTCACAAAATCGATTCTATCGTGTTCCAGTGCTTGCATCATCGCCTCATCGAGGGCACCTGGTGCAGGAGAGACACAGAATTGAATAAATTATATCAAAGGACAAGGAGTCCCATTGCAAATGAATAAATTGCCGCACGTGCAGAGCTTTTAAGCTAACCTGGCGGCCATTCCTGGCCATAGACAAATATTTCCGTTCGCGCAATATCCGCCCGATTCCACGTCAAAGCCAGACTCAGCTGTTCCGGTGGGCTGAGATGTTGCGACTTGAAGAGCGCCGTGAGGATGGTCTGATCCAACTCCTGGACATCACCCTCCGGTCGATCCTGAATGCGAAACACGGTGATTAAGTTCTTATTGCGCGTGCATTGCAGCAATTCCTGGTACAGGCATTCCGCCTGATCGATTGTCACTTCGAAAGTCTTCTGTATTGTGTTGAGCAGATAATCCCTCATCGACTCTAACACTGTCTGCTCCTCACCATCTGCCGCATACCTGGTTTATATATGCAAAATACATCGTTTTAATTGCATCGCGAATATTACACACACTCACACAGCCAATCATCCCTCCTTCAACACTCATTCGCCGCTCCACAGACACCAACTTCCAACCCTGAATAGCGGTTGAAAGGTGATACAACCCGGAAGGTAATTGAATTTAGTGGGTGGAGAGACACAGATGGTGTTTTACAATGTCAGTTTAAATTGCAGGATTTTCGCTAAAATACATTGACTGCCACAAAAAATGTGCCAATAAATTTAAAATCTGCACTAACAATATAATATAAATAATTCACATTACTCAAGGGGGAGATAATATGGTCAAAAGTGGTGTACAACTCAACAGAAATACTAAGGAAAAGGAAGTGTTTCAATATTTGCAATATTATGCTGTTTAGAAAGCAGTTTCTAAAGCAATTGATAAATTTTCATTCAATTTATCCTCTAGAAAAATTCATCAAAGTAATTTTCTAGGTTATGTGACTAATTAAAGCGAGACTTAGTAAGCAAAAAAACTCCAAAAATATCCATTCTTACAGCCAAAGTGGAAAAGAGGCTTATTTTTGGCAGAATGAAGCATTTTCATACAATTAAGGTCGTAAAAAAGGTCCAGATTGTATGAAAGTAAAACATAACCTCAAAAATGAGTTTCAGATTTGTATAATATCAATTTTAAGAATGTTTTTCACCCAATTTTGAGTTCAAATCTTCAATTGCAACTGTTGAAAATCTATAAATTATATATATTTTAAATGTTTTAAGCATTTTTTTTTAGGTTATGATCAGAAAAATTTCCCAAAATGCGATTAAAAACCGTTTTTCACAATAATATTGATGAAACATTTTTTAATTTTATCTTCAGCCTGATAAAATTAAGACTGTCTAAAATATAACAGAAAATTTATCGCTAATTTTTTCGATTGCGCTCAAGATTTGAATTCTAGAAAAGTTTAAGAAGTATCAGGAAGTGGTGTAAAGATTTTAGCCATATTATCCTCCCCTTGGTATTACTTTAAAGTCTGTTCTTTGCCTCACTTTAACGCTTGCAGTATTTCTTTTCACATTTCACTGGATAATCTTGGCTTCCTTGGCAAACTTTATATATTTTATGCAGGGTTTTCTATGCCAATATTGAATTTTCATCATAACTTCGAAGTTTTTAATTCAGTGAATGGAATATTAACACCATAAAATAGATAATATCAAGGGATGTTTTTCTGAGATATTCACAGAAATTTACACTGACCAAACTAAAGCTATTTTAATGCTTCAATGCACAAATGAAACTCATTAAGAATTCCTGAGAACCTAAAGTTTTCGCTCCTGGAGAATAAAATAGGGGAAAAAAAACTAGACCAAAATCCAATTTCACCCATTTTCCCCAAAAGTCACTCTGTGATTGTCATTTGTCATGGGAAAAAAGCACACAACAAATTTCTTTCACATAATGAAATGCTTTTCAACTCAAGAGATTTTTCGTAATTTCAATTTCCTCAGACGAAATTGCTTTTTTTTTTTATAAATAAGCTCGTGACAAATTATATCGTATTATTGTTGAAACAAATTAAATTCACTTGAGCGCCAAAAACATGCATTTCATTTATGAATAAATTAATTTGTCATTTAACAAAATTAGCCAAATGGAATTCAATTAAATAATTACCATTGAACACAGCGCAAAATAACCGTATTGAATATTTTTTTGTTGCATAATTTAGTCAATCAACGTGAGATATTTCGGGAAATCCCTCTCGAAACACTCGCACAAAATCAATTTTTCAGTCACACCCAAGGAGAAAATTGATTGATTTGTGGTCACTTACTTGTGCACGAAGGCAATTAGGTCCGCAGCCCGGCCTGAGCCATCACAGACGACAACTGGCACAGGTGGTGTGTCCGTAACGTACTCCAGCACGGCTCTGATGGTGTTCGTGCCGCCCTCGATCACCAGACAGACCACAGGAGTGCTGGAGTGAGTGACTGTGGGAAGACAAGTCCGGGACAATCCGGGAAATCCATGAGAGACGATAGAAATAATCATTCGTTTGACAAACACTCCCATTATTCATCCACACAAGTGTGTTATTAAGAAGTTAAGCAATTTAAAGAAATACAGAGATTAAACTCAAACTTTCATGCGGCTGAGAAACTCACGAGAAACACACTCTTGAATTGACGGTAAACTTTTTCTTTTCCTTTTACAAAACTTTTCAAACTAAAACATTGCGGATAATTTTGCAATTCAAACTCCTCTTCAATATATAGACAAGGAGAAAAAAAGAGAAAATCTCTCAACTTACATGGGTGAAGTTTCAAATTGGATATGTACTTCTCAAGCTTCCTTCGTAGGATAATCTCAGCTCCGTATTTCCCCTGAGTGCCGTTATCAACTAGCAGGAAATATGCGTGTCGATTGTTGAGTACAGCCAATTTTGATCTGCAAAAGCATCACACATTATTGATGGACTTTATTATGACACAGAAAACCCCCATTTTCGATAGATTCTCACCGTGGCGAGCTAATACTGTGACAGGGAACATCTCGATTGTGGCCCAGCAGCTCGTGATTGCGCTCAACAATGCCCCAGGGCGCAATTCCGATGCTAACCACGCGTCCCGTGCGCTGCTGACCCTCCAGCATCAGGGCATCTCCCACCTGTTTCGTGACACCTGAGGGCGGACGGAAAAGTGCACAAGAGAATGTCAATATCAAGGGGGAGATAATATGCTTTAAATCTGTACAACAGTTTCTGTGCAGAATCACTTCAGATACTTTTTAACGGCTTTGGAGACATTTTTTAGACTCTTTTTGATTTGTTCATGACAAATTTGTGTCTTGATTCTCTAGTTTTATCTTGGAAAAATACTTTTAAAACTTCTGACCAATTTGTGAGGTTATGAATCCGACTTTAAAAATCCATCTTGATCTCATTTGCACTCTTTCACAACTGAAAAATAGTAAATATGGCTAATGTTGCGATGTTTCAACTAGAAATTGAGGTCGAATTTTCCACATTTAAGCACAAAGTGTAGAGAAAAATAATATTTTTGAGGTTATGATTGACTTTTAGGATGTTTCTTACCTAATATTAACTTATTTTGAATACAAAACCTCAACTTTGCCAAGAAAAAGAGAAATATATCGAGATTAAACACAATTTTCATGATTTTGAGAGTTTTTTAATCACCAAAATCTGTTTTAAATAAATCACATAACCTAGAAAAAAGTGTAACATTGATTTTTTAAGCAAAATAATTTAGAAAATGTCTCTATTTGTTGAAAAAGATGCAAATATTTGATATATTTTCCCTCTTCCAAAGCTGTACACCACCTCCGACCATAATATCTGCCCCTTGATCAATATCTTGCGAGGCATATTTGCGAAACATGCAACAGGAAAATGTATTTTCGTCATTCCAGAAAACACACTTTTCCACAGAGTGATTAAGAGGCAACAGAGAAAGCACTCTGCGAGTCAACTTTCTTCCTCTCGAAGTGAAAGAGGAAGTAGAAAATTAAGTTGAAAAGGTGAGAGACTTGCAATCTTGAGATTCATAAACAGATTGTATTTTATTTAACGAAACACAATATATTATATTGTGAAGATATTTCCAGACCAAACAACTATTATCACATGAAATTCACAAGAGCTGCCAAAGCAACTTCACCACGAATGCATGTTAGAAAATTGCTGAGTCGTAATAAATGCAATTTAGCAAACTGACGCTAATACAATTTGCTCTTATCACTGATACACAATTTTCAAATCCATTCTCAGCACAATGCCACTGTGTCTCAGGTGACAAGGAAGCACTCAATGGAATTGTGCAGAGGAGAAATCAAGCAAAAGCGTTAGAGAGAACTTTGCACTTGGCTGAATTGAAACCACATCTTCTGCTAAATCCACATAAATGTGACACTCGGTAAAGTTAATAATTAAAAGTTTTCCCATTTTTGTCACAATTTCTCCAATGACTCGCCGACGACGCGGCAAATTACAATTTATGACGCCAAAACTCCCCAGTGAAAAGAGTCACTTTTCCATCCAGGTGACGCCGTCGGAGGGGAAAAAGGCAGTCATCCTCTAGACATTTAATAACTTTACGAAACTTTATATTACACCTCGCGATATCGATGCCATCACAGGCATCTGATAGGATTCAATTGAAAATGGGCAGAAGAACAGACAAACCCAGGGAAAGAGGAAAAATCTCTCTCGTCACCTTTTCTCCTTTGTCATATAGATAATAATATATATAATTTGCGGAATCGACGTTGGGAATTTCAGGCAAAATCATCCTTCCCTTCCACACCCAAGAAAACTTTTCCTTCCTCTACAATTACACATGAGGGCGCCGCCATAGGGGTGTGTTTTGCTCTAGCAAATAAATTACTGGGAATCCTTAAAAATTTTCACCCAAGATATCCTTTCGGATACAATTCGACGGGTGAATTGATAACTGTGACAAGTCAATTCTTCATCATTTACGTCTTATATATTTTTGAATAGTTTTTTTATCTGATTAAGTACTTTTTTTATAAGAAAACTGTTTTAAACTATCAGTATTTCGCAAAAACGCTTCTTTAATTAACATCGTAATTTCAGATTTCACAGATTTTCGTCAAATGTTTGTTTCCAAAAGACATTAAATGAGAAAAAAGACTTTTTTAAATTATTCAATAGAGAACTTTGGAAAAATTAATTGAAACAATTAAAAATTGATTTCTTACAGCTTTTTTGGATAAAATGTACTTAAAATCGAGTTTTAGACACTAATATATTCTGTTTATTTATTAATTTTGCCATATTTCAGTCAAAATTCCAATAAATACCATTAAAATCAAACGAAACATTCACAAAAATTTATTTGAGTTAAAATTCGGCAAATTTCACAGTGAAATTAACGCTAAATTTTTACTTTTCATAGTTTTCCATTCATCCGTCGAATTACTTTGAAACTTATGAACAAGAGTGAAATTCTATACTTGGATTTCAAGGAATTTCACGTCTCAAAGGGTGAAACATGGATTTTGATAAAAGATTCCCCAAAAAGCACTTTACGTGTTTCAAAAGATTAATGAAGAAACACACATTAGAATCGGAAGAAATACACCCAATTCAGGACTAAATCACTGGACTAATATCGCTCTCAACAAGAAGCACGGCATATTCTCAAGAGATAAAACATGCTGAAATGCTCGAGAAGAAATGTAATTAAAAAGCGTAACACTTTTTACCATAAATCTCAAAAGTCATTAGCAACTTTCTGCCCAGTTCATCCATTGTTCTCAATTAAGAACGCCAGCATTTGCATGCCAACCAGTAAACACTTTGCACACACCATTTGGCCTCACTGTGAGTGGTAAAATATTGCTCCTCTAACTGACCGATAAATTTTCTTACTCATTCTCTATACAAAACTATCATCTTAAACAATTAATCGAAGACGAATGACGAAGAGTTTCAATTAAAATTTAATTTATCATTAACATCTCAACATATTTTCTATATTAATTGATGCAAGAACGGATAGATTTCTGCGCACAACGTCAGCCACAGTCATTCATTAATTGTTAACAGAATGTTAACCGGAGTTATGGGTGGAAAATATGGACATGAAGAGGGACATTTGGGGGCACATGGGGTTGTCATAAATTTCAGTTAGGAGCCCCTTGGGTGCTCTTGCCCCGACGTAATTCGACAGAAAATGCCATTCACTGGCGGGGAAAGAATGATTGGGCGTGTGAGAGACTCACCGGTATTTGTGCCACCCGTAAAAATCCAGGCTCCGGTGGTTCTGGCAGCTTTGAGCAATCCCTTCCTGATTTCCTGTACAGAAAGAGAGAGAGAGAGAGAGAGAGGGTGAAAAGGAGGACTTCAGTGGGTGGAATGGGAATAGCAGACTGTGTGTCGGTGATGGTTGAAATCGGCAATTGCCTCACATGACTCTATATTGGTGCTGATGTAGGGAAATGTGTGCCATGGCAGATTTTCACCATCAAATTTTCTTCCAGCACTGCCGCATTCACAGGTAATCCCCAGATGTCTCTATGTGCGCCCTGACACAGTCAGAGACGCTCCAAATGGCCCGCGCTGTAAGAGTTCTGCTCTTGAATTCATCACAAAAGGTATGGATGGCAGACATTTGAAGAAAATATCTCCAGCAGCGCTTCCGCCATCCGTCCAAATATTCCCTCTACCCAGTTGGAATTTCACTTTCACGCCTCGATGGGCTGCCCACAGTGAATTTGTCAAGTGTATCCTCAATCCTTGTGCGAAAGGGCGGCAGCACGAAGGATCAACAGTACTAGAAAGGGATTACTTCCCATCCATTTCAAGCACTCACACACAAACACATTTTCCACCCCCCCCCCCCCCAAATGTGAAATCAAAGAGTGACGACTATGTCAAGCAATAGTGCGGAAAAAGTTCAGACATTCTCAAGCAAAAGTGGCCAAGGTGATGTCCTTACCTTCTTCAGCTTTGGCTGCAACTCAAAGTTCGCCTTTCCACCTTGAACGGTGATGAGGAGCTTCGGCAACTCCAAATTCCATTCTCGCGTGAACAGTTGAACGAGCAATTCGGGTCTCGTGTCATATGACAATCTCACATACTGCAAAAGAAGGACGCGAGGTGAAATTTAAAGTCAGGGTGCTTTTAAATTTATCACTCTTCGCCACTCATTTCAGCGCTAAGCACAGGGATATTCTATATACTGGATTTGTGGCAACACATTCAACCGATATTGTTTGTTATTTGATACTTAACAGCACTCGGACACAATCACTTAACAAACTCAACCGAATTGTTTGAATGGCTGGCCAATAATCCAACATTTGCTCGCATGTTGTAGTCAACTTTATCCATTATATCCCAGAGACTTTTACTTTCTGCCACAGAGGACAATACAACCTTCAATGTCCCAGCGGAGAAAAGTCCTTTGCCATCAAGAAAGCAAACAATTGAGATTTCATGTGAATAAAGAATTGCTTTTAATTTCCTTCTTCAAAATCAATTTACGAGTCGTTGCAACTTTACACATTTTGTATTTCAGTAATAGAGAGTTTATTTAATATGAATTTCAGCTGTTAAACGAGAAGAATCAGTGCAACAGGACGAAATAGTGAATCCCAGTGACAAAACATCTTCATCCGTGGTATTTAAAAGCAATAAATAAGAATTTTAGTGCAATAGAATTAAAACATATCTTTTTATGCACTTGCAAATGCTTTGGAAAGTCAATCAGATTCCTAGGAAAAAGTCTAAGGATGTCCGGAAACACATAATCTCAATTTAGTACATTGAAATGGTGCACAAATGATAAGATAAATCCAATAAATTTGTAATAATTAACCTAAAAACGTCATTTTTGTCCATTTTTTTTATTGTCCCCCAAAATAAATCCCGCTTTTCCGTTGCGCTTTTCTCGCAAATAATATTCTTGACAGCTTACTTAAAATGCTATGAAAATAATGTTGCAACGACCCTTGAATTTATATAATTGGAATTCCATTACTTATTAACTTCAAATAGAAACATGAAACCGACTGAATAAATCCCTGCGAGTTGGAAATTCCGGATGAAATGCAATTTCCAAGCCTGATTAATCTACAGCAATCCATGTTTTCACTCAGCATACATTTCCACAGCATGGAAGTCTGCAGTACAGCTTGAGGGCAAGGAAAAATGCACAAAGCGGGGGAAAAACTCACTTGTGCTTTGGTGGGATGAGCGCCCCCTTGGAATTCAATCGTGCCGTACGCGTCCGTGGGATGAGATCTGGTGTGCTTGAAGGGCGTCCAAGTATCGGCCGGCGACCCGACGTCCACCCCAGCCAGGACTGGATGCGTGAGACGTGCCTGGCCGCAGCAACATCTGCGGTGGAGATAAATATTCATCCGCATGTGAGAGAGATTTACTATTTGCCATTGACATTCACATCGCACAGTCTCACATATATGCACAACATATCCAAGAGTCAAATAGTCACGGCAAAAGTGGAAGAATCAATCCTTGAAAAGCTCTCAAAAGCTAACTTTTTTTCCTTCTTCTTCTCTTATTCTTCTCGCAACAGACAAACAAGTATTTCATGTTTACCTCCTGAAATATTCTCGATGCACTGAATCTCTTCTCCAAATGGAAAATACATTCAAGATCATTTGTTATCCTTATCACAAATGGGAAATCAAATGTCACTGTTGCTTTATAAAATACAAGCAAGAAGATGTTTATCGCTGATTTTTAAATTACAGAATACAAAAATTGTTCAAGAGCAGCAAAAGTAAAAAGGTCAAAAGATACTGAAAAAGGGGGGAAAACTTCTTCACAAAACTTTGGAAAAACAGCAAAGTTTGCACAGAACTGACCATGGATGAATGAAAAACTTTTCCTTCAAAATAAACTCAATAAGTTCCCTCAATAACCACCCTTAAAACCCGCACAAAGATCACAGATAATAGAATAACCCGAATGACTGAGAAATCAATGGGAATTGTTGTAAAAATTGATGGGCAAAATGTACTTTTATTATTCACTTCAGAATTTCCACTTGCAATTTCCCCAATAAAAATGCTGAAATTGCTGAAATTCGCACAAGATTCAGAAAATAAATAGTCCAAAGATTTTTATTCGCACATTTGACATGAGAAAAAAATTCACATAAAATTCCTGCAATTGTGAAAATTACTATCCAAGTTGAATTCCAGAATTTTTCTACATTACATATACAAAAGAGGAGCATAAAAATTGCGTCAGAATTGCTGGTTGAAGTTATGCAAATACTGCGTTCCACATGACTGAAAATTTACATTTAAAGGACATACAATATCTTCAAGAGGGGATGAAGATCTCTTCACGCACACTTTAGTGACAACAAAGGAAGTTACATATATAAAAATCACAGGATATGAAAGCTCTGAAAGCTTATTACATTTTTACACTTATTTCACACAAAAATCCCGCTTTCAATGTGTGAAAACGATTTGAATCTGCTGATCAAGATTGAAATGTTGCAACAATGCAGAGAATGGAGGATTAAAAAATGTTGAAAATCATCTTCCCATCTCAATAGTTGGATTCGCGAGTGAAACGACAGCTTGAAAAAGAATCAATGCAAAGCAAATGCATCGAACACAATAAAAAGCAAGTGTTTCAGTGCTTTTGCACAAGCATAAAGCAATATTATGGCAATTCAGGCCTTTATTCCCATGCAAATTGACAGCACTTTCACACTTCGTTAATTTCTCCTGAAATTCACTGCATATATTGTCGAAGAGTCTCTTGAGCATTCTTCACAGAACAGCAATCGATATCAATAAAAAGAGTCATCTAATGACGTACATGTAGCAGATTGAATCGAAACTTGCTGAGAATTTCACCAAAATTACCTCCAAACACCTTCAAATCGTTCATTGAAGTCTTAATAATGCTCTTTAATAATTATTTTGCGAATGTTTCAACGGATTTTGAAGGTATTTATTAAAATTTTAGACTAAAATATGGCAAAATTGATTGAAAAACCGAAAATACTATTTTTCAAAGTTGATTTTTAATCATTTTTGAGTACTTTTCATATTTTAAACAAACTTTTCTTTAAAGTTTTCGAGTGAAAAATATTCTAAAATACAACAAATATTAATGTAAATTCACTCAACGAAAATCTACAATTAATATGTTTATTAAACTTTTCAATGTTTAACGCCACAAAGCATGAAAATTTTGTCCATTTGAGTTATTTGGATAAAAAGAATTTCCTACTTTTGCCCCATTAAATACAATTCTCATGATTTCTTTAGTCATCGACTTTTCATAGTTTTCAATTCACTTGTCGATGTGTAAAATAGCATTTTGAGTCTTTGAGCTTCTTCTGCGCTAAAAGTTGTTACTGTGGAAGATGTCGCAGAATTGTTATAATAGTATTTGGGGTCTTGAAGATGGTAAATAAAATATTTCCATCGTGTCATTTGATTCTTTCGCAACTTTCCACTTTATGACAATGCTCAGCTGTCGTTTGTCGGTGAATATTAACATTCTTGTCTGTTTCTGCGACAAAATTCCCCTAAATTAAATACAATATGAAGTGAGTTTAAAATTTGTCGTGTCTGAAGAATGGCAGGGACGTTTTAATGAAGCCAGTTGATATTATTTCATCATTTGTGAATGTTTAGAATTATTACAATGTCAAATTATAGAAATGCAACGAGAAATTTAATTACAACTTTCACCGCACAATTTCAATTTTCTTTGCAAATATGTTACCTGGCTTATATATAGCCATATCTGGCGATGATATAAATCAACCCCTAATTAGTCCTTCACATAGTATTGTGACTATTGTTTAAATTCAACGATGTGCAATTTGTTTGAAAGTGATTTTGAATACACGATGAAGCACAAATTCATAATTATGGGCTTACATGTGTGAATAATTCAATATCATATTAATTGTATCGCCACGTATTGGTCCCTTTCATCCTAAACCTCAATTTCAACCCTCATTGTGGTGATTAAACTAGGTTATTGGATGTTTCAGATTTCCCATATTATATATGAAGTTCCTCAATTTCAAAGACAATTTGCTCCCATTGAAAACCCACGTGGAAACACAAACTGAGAGTGTTTCGACATCCTGACTGAAAATTACCCAAATACACATTCTTTACAGCATGAAAATGACTTGGAGTGTGTCGGAATGGCAAGAAGTCAGCATTTTCGGTAGATTATCTTGTCAGAAATTGTGTATCCTGCCGCCATAATCACAGCTGCAAAGAGGATGACTGTGAATTATGTATAAAGCACTGGATGTCTCCTCTCCATGCGTAAAACCCAGATGAATATTTTAGAATTAAACAATTGCCGAATATGAACACGCGCGCGAGGGATGTATTTAATGTTTTTCGCGCGAGCAATGCCCGAAATTGCGTGAGAACTTTCTCTCATTGCTTTCTCTTCAATCTTTTTTCCTCACTTTACTTCTCTCTCCCGCTTCTCGTCCTTGTTCATGCCCCAAAAGTACACATTAAAAATCAGGGTAGGAAGAAAACAAACAAAAAAACTCTTGCCTTTTTCCCCGTCGGTGAGAATTTCAGCCCCGCCATTGAGGACTTTATGACTATATAGACACTTTTATAATCCATCTGTTTAAGAGAATGAGAAATGGTGAACTGTGTGCGTGAGTTGTTCTCATAATAAAGGAAAAGCTACATTTCACAGAAACCGCGTCAGATGAAGCTTTTATCAAGAAAAAAATCACTCACAATTTGAAATCATTAGCTTTGTGATTATTCAATCAGTTTTTGATCTTTCGTGAATTTTATTTAAATTTCGGTTATTTTCTCCACCAATTGCCGCAAGAGGGCAGCAGTTTAAGGGCATGAAGAAGTTCCGATTATATTTCCCAAACTCAAAACGTGAGAATGCGTGAGAAAACAAAGAAAATTATGTGAAAATGCGATATTATTAGCTTCCCCCACGCCAACTTTGCTGCCCTCTGGCGGCGATATGTGGAGAGAATAATCAAATAACTGAAAAATATTAAAATATTCAACAAACACTTAAATGTGATTTGATTAATTAATTATTTCGCCGAAAATATTCAATTTGTATTGAAATTTTGATTATTTCATTTCTGACATTCAAAGTATAAATCGATATTTAAATATTTGATTAAAGCCATTCAGATTTCTCGAAAATTGTCTTGTGATTTTCCCTTTGGTTTGCTGAATTTCTAATACCAAAAAATCAAATAATAGAAGAGAAAATATAAACGGAAAAATTCAGAATCAGCACACATAAAAGGGCTGAGAAAAATTCAGTTGGGAGGAGATAATAGAAGAGAGAACAAGTTTCACAAACATTTGTGGAATAAAATGTGACAGATTTTCAAGACATATTAAAAAAGAAAGCTGGCAAAGCGAGCTTATTTCACATGTCATGTGTGTTTGTGTGCTGGAGCATTTTATTCCTTTTCCTCATTCCGCCACCTTTCCAAATGATTCACAGCAGGAAATCTGCGAGGAAAAGTTGTGAAACTTCGTGGAAAATCCAGTATCTTTATCGATATTGTAGTCACTTTGGTAATTATTTGACGTGGGATATCATCAAGAGCTATTAAAATGGGATAAAGATAGAGTATAAAGTAACTTTTCTATTAATTTCTCTCTCTCTCTCGCCCTCCCATCGAGACTGTGTGATGCGTTGAAGGGTGAGAAAACTGCTAACGATGGATTCTTGGTGATATGAGATGTGTTCTTTGCTGGGCTGAATCCCACACCTCAGCCACCGAGAGAGAGAGAGAGAGTGTGAGAAACTGTGTAACCATATGAATTGCCTTCTGTTATCTCTCAGGCTCAATAAACCCGCAAAGGTTGGAGAACATCCAGAGTCTCATTGAAGATATTCATTTGCTCGTCATGTGTGGGATTTTCTGGGTGGCACCCATTCAACACCCATTGACTAACCATGAGTGTTAAAGTGTATCTCTATCACAGAGATATAAACTTCCCTATATTATTAATAGGGAAGAGATGGGAGAGCAAAAGAGTGTGAAATTTGCGTTGATATCTCAACTAATTCAATGAGGGTGGCGAACAGAAGTACAGCCGCAGTATATCAAAATGCCACTGAAATTCCGACAACATTTCTCCCTCTCGCGTTCCGCCCAAGGGGGAGATATTATGGTCAGAAGAGGTGTACAGTTCAGCAAAAGTGTTAAGAAAGTGGAAGTGCTGGAATATTTGGCACTTTCAAAGTAAATTAACCGCAATACTTTGAGAATTTTGACACTATTTTCTTCAGTATAAATTTTCATCGCTTTTCTAGGTTATGTAACTGACTTTAATAGCATAATTTAGTGACAAAATAACATCAGAAAATACCAATTCATCCATTTTAATAAAGAAATCTGAAGAAGATTACAAGATTTCAATGTTAAACTCATATTAATGGTGATAAGATTGATCTTAACCTCCAAAATAATGTTTCAAGATATAAAATTTTCTATTTTAAAAGCTTTTCTTATCTTTTTTAATAGATTATCTACTCTAAACTAGGAAATTTTCGCTATTTATTGATTTAAAACAAACTAATATTGGTGAAAATCAGTAAGTTTTTATTGTCGCGCAAGATTCTTTCAAATATCTCAGGGTAATTTCTAAGTTATGGTCAACAGTGTATCCAAATAGCAATTAAGAATTCAATCACATCAAAATTTCCGCTGGAAACCTTATATATTTCTTAAATACTGTTTCTCTAACAGTTTTTTCCGGATCAAACAAGTAAAAATTTAGTCTTTTATGACATTTGCAACCTTAATTTGAGGTTATGATACTTTAGGCGACTGGAAAAATCTATGAAGTCAAGAAAATAAGGAAAACGCATGTTGTAAACACTGCCAAAGTTCTGAAAGTGTCTGTGATTCTTCACAGAAATTGTGTACACTGTTTAGCCCTATTATCTCCCCCTTGACTCTGGCAAACATATTCCTATATATGTGTAACAATAGACAATGCGGGTGTAAAGTTTTGTAATGAAATTTTAACACACACTTTTACGCACATAATTTTTGAGTCAACTTCCTCGTGTGCGGATGTTTCTGCCTTAGCCTACAAGTCCCCGGAGTATTTAATTGCTAGCTGAGAAGTTTTAGCGCTACAAATTATATTCTGGGGATATTTACTCAAACAGAGACACAGAGTGTCAAACAAACCACATTCTGCGTGGTTTTTTCTTTACTCTCAGTCTGGCCATTAACTTTATAATTTCCACGGTAAACACTTTAATGTTTCAATGTTTGAAAGTTTGAATTGTGACCCGAAAAAATGGGGGATTCTAAAACTTTTCACGACCACGCGTCTATCGAACCGCTTCGACTCAAATGGCCGACAGTTTATCGCTCATACAGTCGTCCTAAAAGCGTCTGGAGAGGAAGTGAGCCTCTTTCCACCCCTCCACAGTGGGGCGTGAATATTTCGTGGGCGAAAGAAAAATCACATTCACTCCGCCACGCACAAGGAAAAAATACACCAGCGAAAACATAAATAGATCATTGTGAAGAGATTTCCTACAAATTCCCCCCATTCGCCATCACATTTTCGCCAGTGTTCCACAACCATTCGCTTTGAGGGGATCATGAAAAACACTTTGTCACACTCACCGCTCCTCATCCTTGGGATTCGGGGTGAACTTAATGCATTCGCGCTTCTGAAAATTCGCCTCAATCCAACTGCGCGGTGTGTGCTGAAAAAGAATTTCATTGCTGAATTAGTTCAACTGTGATAAATCGTCCGGATAAATGATTCTATGACGTTCTGAGAGTCTTGTGTGGTGAACAGAGGAGAAATGTATTGATAATGGAGATATGTTTTACCTCTCAGATGAAAAAAAACAGGGGCCAAAGTCTAAAATTGTGTGCACGTGTTTTGGTGATGAAACACAATTTATCTTTTACAACTTCAACTGACAAGTGAGAAAATGCTTCCTTGATGGTCTCTAAAAATCCGAAGGTGACATAACTACCAGTGAAAGAAAACAGCACATAAAAACATCCTCATTTCAAAACTGCCATAAGAATATCTTCATTCCAGCCAAGTGCAGCGCTTCTACAGTCTCAAAGTACAGCAGAACACATCCAATTGAGCGATGCTGGATGTTAAAACACACCAAAATGTGCTCTTATCGTGATATTTACATGTGCCAATGTTAATTCTTAAACATGAGAATGATGATTAACTCATGAAAAATTTTATTTCGCCGCTATCTCACCGCCCAAAATGACACACCAAATGTCTTGTGAGGAGATGAAGAAGAATGTTTGAGCAATTTTCCTTTCTCCTGTGCGGCGAAAAGTGTGTAGAATCTCAGCTTATACATTAATTTTTCCTGGAAATCCCGTTTTTATTATTTCTTGTATTTTTCACCTGTTACGTCATTGGCTCTAGCGACCTTAGCGGTGATCGGGCGAACTTCTAATGTTCTTAATAGTTTTAGGCTTTTGCTAGAGCTTTCCAAAGAGTCCAAAACTATTCAAATCGGTTAAATAGAACCGAAGTTATTGTACTTACAAAATGAAAACTTTAAACCGTCATAACTCCGGTTCTATTGCATCGGTGAAAAGTTATAACCTATTTTTAGAGACGTCCTGATCTGGACTACAACATACTGAAATTTAAAGAAAATGCACTATCTAGTTGCCGAGATACAGGCGTTTAAGTTTTTTTTCCAAAATGGCGGCGTTCGTTATGACGTCAAAGACTCTCTGTAAATGCAGCCTACTTAAGGGCGTTAAAACACGTATTTTGGTGAAGAGATGATGAGCTCAATTATGAAATAAATATAAAAATAGCGAAGGTTTAAACATGACTTTTATTAAAATATTACAAATTTCCCTTCAATTAAGCTGAAATTCAGAGAAATACATGATATGTAAATAAATTAACGCTGCATTCAATTTTATATTAATATTCCACAATCAAATAAACCAAAAAAAGTCTTTTTCCCTGCAATATTTCACAAATATTCGCAAAACTGCCGCGAGCAGTGAAAACAGTGGAATTATTAAACGTAAATGTAGATGAAATGCTTTGTTCGTTGTTTTTCATGATATTATTTATCCAATATTTATTCCACTTCCTCTGAAAAGCTTTTGCATTTGGCTAACAGCAAAATTGTGCAGTGGAAAATTCAAAAATCAACAATTTCTCACTAAATAAACGCTTAGTATTTTGTATTGGATGAAAATGTCTTATCTTATCTCTGTGAATTTGTGTGCATTCACAAAAAATTGTCTGTTGAAATCGTATTTTTAGCATTTCAATGACGATTTGCTCTCTATGTACTGAGCAAATTGCGTAGGCAAATGGTTTAAATACAATAAATCAGATGATGTGAGGTAATTTTCACCTGTTTCTTGGATAAATCTCGAGCACTTAACTCCAGTAAATTGGAGAAAATCCACCACGGACTGACTTTCCGTATGAATTTCAACTTTTTCCCCGCAGAAGTCTCCCGAAAGCCTTTCGTCATTGTTCCTCTTTTTGGCTGTAATTCTCTATCTTAATATTTCACCCACTCATGGTCGATGGGAAAAATTGACAGACACTGTAAATATACTGTCAGAAAATCCCGAAATTCACTCCAACGGATGCTTTATTCAGAAAACATCCCTCGCCTGTGACACTTTCAGCCTTGCTTTCAGCACAAATTTATTTTAATTCTTCAAATCTACGGCACGAGCATATGAAATATATATTTGGGGCGGATCGGCGACACCCGCGAGGATTAGCGAGACGATAAATTTAAAATTACCACACGCAAATACACACTTGCTCGATGGGCACAACCCTAAAGCCACCCCCAAAGTCAATAATGGAGAATTGATGGTTCCATTCAGTGAAATTAAAGGCACACAGATTTTTCCGCACTTCCTCAGAGCACCAAAACTCGACTAAATCCAATCCACTATCGCTCTGAAATTAACTCACTCACAAGATATTTTATCACCCGATTCTGTAGTGTTTGTGAAAATTATCTAAGAAAGAGAAGCATTTAGGATTGTTCATCGGGCAAGTTGATAATAAATTTCCCAAACATCTCTTCCCACTTATTTACTTTTCTTCTGTGTAAACACTGTGATTATAATTGCCCTTCAGTTGTGCCTCTTCCTTCCCATTCAGCATTCAACCCTCGTGAAAAATACTTCACGTGAACGGCAATAATTTAATAGCTTTTTTTGCGCTTTCAGTCATTTTGCCATTAATACCGAGAAATATGCGTTAGTATTTCCGAATAGTCCATAAAAGCCCCAGTGATATAATTAACATAAAAAATTCACACATTTGCCGGAAAACAATAATAATCCTCGGAATCCCTATCAAAAAGCAAACACGTTGATATTTCATGTCACATTCACGGTGAATGTGATGTAAATCGATCGAAAGCAGTTATTAAAAATTAATATTAAATTTTGTCAATTTATAGTCATGATATGGAAAAGTTTCTTTCCTGTCTCGCTTATACATAATGCGTACGATAATAATACTTATTCTGTAAGTAAATCAAAAATATGGTGGAAATTTTAAACTACTTCAACATTAATTATTTGACCTCATTTCATGTTATACCTTAACATATCTCACTGGACTGCTTAAATGCTACTTAATATCATGCCAAGGAGGAGACAATACAGTCAGAAGTAGTGTACAACTTAGCAGAAGTATTATAAGAAGTGAAACTGATGAAAGACTTTTCTCAGTGCTTCTTTCTCTGCCAAATTATTTATTTATTCATTGTATTCCTTCTGATTTTTACGTAGAATCAATCGAAATAATCATTTTCTAGGTTATGTAATGAATGAAGAACATATTTAAGGACATAAATTGGTGAAATCGCCAGTCATTGACAGAATTAAGGATTTTCATGCAATCAATATTGTTATTCTGCATCATTCTGTTGCCAAACAAACACTGAAAATTGTGTTAAGATCGCATATAACCTCAAAAAGAGTATTCTGGACTTGGAAAATGATTGTTTAAAAACCTTTCTGTACGATTTTGACTTTGAATCAACAATTTTGGTTCGATTGGCAAATCATAAAAGACGCTTTTGTGCTCAACAATAAACTAAAAGTATTGGAGGCTCTGCGTATCTTCATATCGGGACATAGAAATGTCAATAAGAAGGAAGATTGTGCTGGCGTTAGCATGATTTATATTATGGAGAAGAAAAGGGGTGCGAGCTAAGAAGCTAGAAAGCTTCCAAACGGAGTCTTTGAAGATCTCGGTGATATTTTGAGGTTCAGAATGGTCAGAAAAGATACTCAAAAAGGATTTTAAGGTGATTTTTTTGCAGATTAGTGAAGAAACAGTTTTAAACTTGTGTTGTACAGATTTTAGGTATATTATTCTCCTCTTGCATCATGCGAGAATGTATTTTGACGGTCACTTAATTTATCCGGGAATTTTCTCATAACATCCCTAAATCAATACAACAAGCATGATTAGAAGGCCAGATTAATAAGAGAAATTCCTTAGCACGAAGTCTCTTTTCTCAAATAGTAAAATTCCCTCTCGACGCTGATGCTTCTCAATATATGATTTCAGGTCTATTGAAATTAATTTCTAATTATACGAATCACTGAGCAATTTACCCTTATTTTGTCCCACTCTACGCATTTTTCCACTTGACGTCACCCTTTAAAGTACACCAATTAAACGAGGCACTGTTGTGTGAATTTATGGTAAAAATCCCTTCACATTTTCACAATTAATCATTAAACTGAACTTTTGTTAAACTTTACAAACACACATTTCAGCCACAGAAATTTTATGTCTCAATGACTTCGTGTGCTTGTTATCTTTTTTTTCTTTATTTATCATGGAAATTTGCACTGGGAATTAAACTTTCGACCAACACTGATTGAATTGTCTACCCTTACAGGCTCTTCTAGTGAAAATTCATGCAGAATATGTACAGATAGTGGAAGAGAGACTCCGAAAACCGAGCTGTGGAATGAAAAATGAACTCTCATGTTGATATTTCTTCCGGACATTTGCATATCATCAATATTAGCCCAGGAGATGTTCCTGAAAACCCAACACAGAGGCTTTTGGATTCTCTCTTCCTTTTTTTTGGGTCACACACTAATTTATGAATTCTCCAGATTAAAGATGTCCAACCTAGATTTATCTACATTTACACCTTTTTAGTCATTTTCAAAATTAAACCTCCTGGCTTTGAAGTGCAACCGTGAAAGTCACCATGAAAACATGCTCCTGCCCAGGAAATGGAATTTCCAATTTGAATGAGAGCCAAAATCTCGTCTCGATCTACATTGAGTGTGAGAACTATTAATTCTACTCTCGGTGCTACATTTCTGTGGAGATTGTGTGGCTGTTCTCCACCCCCTGAAACACTGCCAGAGCCCCAGATAATGTTGACGGAAAGGGAGAGCCGCCGCCGCCGCCGCCGCCCGTTCACCACAGAGAGTCATAATTTTGTTCCGGAGGCCTTTTAAAGTTTTAACATTAATTAATTTGCATGAAATAATAAGAGCTCTACTACATATTCTGCCATTTCGCAACGCATCTCTCATTCTGGGCGACCCAATTCGACTCACAGTGTCGCAGATGATCCCTTTTGCGGTTCCTCAGACACACACTCTGGTGCGCGAGAAGAAATTCCCTGAGATGTAACAATGGTTAATTTTTAACTTTCAGTCACTCGAGAGTGAAAGATGATGAGGGGAAAAAAATGTTTGGCACCCAAGAAGATTTTCACGGAGGAATTCTCACGCACACAAGAGAAATTCCATTGCCAAGTCACACAACTCATTTAAATAATTGATTATTTATATGTAGAAGTGGAGCTATAAGAATGAAAATTGTACACTTTTTCATTTCACACCGCTAAAGATTATTTCAAACATTTTCTCCGCCACCCCCAAAAAGCTCAACACCCTTCTAAATGATTCATCACACAGACTTTTGCACGCGTTCGTCACAAAGCAAATGGATGGATATTCCAAAATGCAAATGTATCATAAATATTGCGTCAATTTATTCCTTGGTGTCAAATGCCTGCCTTTGACTCCACTCACACCCATTCTTTTCCCACCCCATTAGACCCATTGAAACAACAATCCACTGCTAATCGCTTTCAGATATTTTTCTCGTCTTCGCCCCAAATAGAAATATTCTCTAAGGGAGATGAAAAGAAATCGTACATTAAATCGTTCGCACGACTGATCAATGAGAAAATCACAGAAGCTCTACACAAATCTCTCTTGGGGGAGAGAAAAAAAAAACAATATATCGAGTTCCGTGTGGAAGAGAGGAAAAGTGAAGCCAGAAAGGGATGAAGCTTATGGATAGAAAATCCCAAATTGATAACACATAAATCAATTTCCAATAAAGGAAATTAGACTGAATCATTTTCATGGTGGAAGAAAATGTGATCAAAGAGAAAAAGGGAGAGAAATGACTTGTATTCAAGTATATAATTAGTGAGAAGTTCCAAAAATATCTTTTCCCTCGTCCTCCAAAATGACAGATTTCAAGGGTAGATAGACACAAGGGGGAGATAAGACAGTCAAAAGTGGTGTACAACTCAATGAATGCTTTTCTTTACTAACTAATCATCCAGATTCTTTGGATTTCCTACGATTTTCACTCGTAAACAAACGTAATAATCTATTTTCTAGGTTATGTCACGAATAAACGGATAGATTTAGTGAAAAATTTGCATTCTAACACATCAATTATTATGCTAAAGTCGCCAAGATCGCCATAGATTAGTAAAAATTAGCATTTTCATGTCAAAAATGTGTCAAAAACCACTGCAAATTGTATTGAAGGAGCCTCAAAAATAATCATTTGGACTTGGAAAATGTTAATTTAAAAAAGTTTTTGGACAATTTTGACTCTGAATCAGCAGTTTTGAGTTCATTGGCAAATCATAACCAGATCATTTTGTGATCTAAAATGCTTCGAAACAGAGATTCTTAAGATCTCTTAGTTATATTTTGAGGTTATGGTTGGAAAAGATGAGCAAAAATACGTTTTTAAGTCAATTCTTATAGAAATATCAGATGTAAACTTAAGAGAAACTTCAAGTTCTCCAGTATGAGACAAATTTGGAAGACTTTGGAAATAATGTACAGATTGAAGGCATATTATCTCCCCCTTGGATAGACACTCTTCTGCAGTGAGTTAAGTACAGGCAAGATTCTCCAGATTACACCTTCGCATGATGTCCATTCAATCCATTTTTCTCATTTTACTCAATATCATTATATAATTGATTTACTGAAGTGGACAAAACATAATTTCCATTGGTGTTTTATCAGTTTATTCCTATCCATTGCAATCATTTCCCGCCCATCAACGTCCAATTTAGTCGTCATTGTGTCAGTGAGAGGGCGAAAAAAAACCCCAAATTATACTTTGTATTCCGCCGACAGCGGAGATACTCATAAACGAAATTAGATCAATTTGAGGCTACTCGACCGTAGAGTGTATAAAAATCATTAAATGGTGTACTGATGGCGTCAAGATAAATAGAAATTCTAAATAATTCAATTACTTCACTGTCTTGCTAACCATTAGTGACATACAAGGGAGAGATAATACGCCTCAAATCTGTACATCACTTCCTGACACCTGCTAAATACCTAAAAAGGCATTTTTCGTATTTTTAAAAATTTTTCCACGCTTTTCCGTCTTTATTTTTGTAGTTTTGTTTTCGGAACTTGCTTAGAAAACATTCTAATCAAATTGTGAGGTTATGAATTGGACTCTAAAACCCCTTCTTGGACCAATTAAAATCTTTCCAAACTTGAAAATCGACTAAAATTACATTTTTGAGGTTATGATTGACTTTTCAGCT